TTGCCAACGTTCTTTCTTAAAAGTCCACTTATTGGTTGGGGCCAGCCTGGTGGCGTAGCGGTTAAGTGCAAACGCTCCGCTTCAGCGGCCTGGGATTTGCAGGGCACGCACCGACGCATTGCTTATCAGGCCATGCTGTGGCAGTGTCCCATATAAAGTAGAGGAAGATGGACACGGATGTTAGCCCAGGGCCAATCTTCCTCAGCAAAAAGAGGAGGATTGACAACGGATGTTAGCTCAGGGCTAACCTTCCTCACAAAAAAAAAGTCCAATTATTCGTTAACTATTCAATATCATGAAAAAGGGGAAGATTGCTCTAGATTAAAAGGGGCAAGGTGGGGCCAGCCCAGTGGCCCCATGGCGTAGTGGTTAAGTTCGCGCACTCCACTTTGGCGGCCCAGGGTTCACAGGTTCTGATCCCAGGTAAAGACCTACACCACTCGTCAAGCCGTGCTGTGGCAGCGTCCCATGTACGAAATAGAGCAAGATTGGCACAGATGTTAGCTCAGGGCCAATCTTCCTCACCAAAAAAAAATAATAAAATAAAAGGGGCAAGGTGAGGCTGGTTGAATCCCCACTCAAATAAACCAACTGTAAAAGTACATTTTGAAGTCAAACAAGGAGATTTGGATAAAGATGGGTTATTTGATGTGATTAAACAATTATTGTTAATTTTGTTAGGTTGGATAATGGTATTGTGGCTGTGTAATAAAATGCCCTTTCCTAGAGATGCATAATTTAGGGTAAAATGTCATAATATCTGGGACTTACTTCAGCAAAAACTGATAAAACAGATACAGTAAAATATTTAAAATTGTTCAATCTAATTGATAATATATGGGGCTCAGCATATAGTTCTTTTACTTTTATTTATACTAGATTTATATAAATATCCATAATGTATAAATGTGTAAATAAATTTATATATAACCTAATAATAAATTATAATAAAATAATTTTATTAGAAATAAACTTATAAAATACAAAAATGTAAATATAAATAATAAAATTTTTTCAAAACGAAAAAACAAAGTTGCACAGATGGAGGTGAATGGCAGGGTCTCCCCATGTGCTGCACCCCTGGCTCTGCTCCAGAGTACAACAGGTGCCTGGAGAAGCATCATCAGCCTTCACAAGACTGTCAGTAACTTGGTGGCCAGGACAATGTCCCCTGCCTTATTTCCACCCCCTGTAAAGTTCTCCTACACGTCACTGCTGGACCAAGCACAGGCCTCTTAAAATTGTAAGGAGCCAACACCTGACTTTACAACTTGCAAACTCCAAATTGTCACCCTTTTCCCCATTAGTGGGCCCTCCTTCTCCACGCAGCTGCCCCTAGTAAGTGACTAATGCCATCCTTTCCAAAGACCGAAGCTTGGACATGGCATGTTGCACATCCAACAGGGTAGAAGGCAGGTGATGTCCAGGACGCTTCTCTCCATCTTGTTGTACCATACAGATGGCCTCCATAGTCACACCATCCATAACATGGGACTGAGAGCAGAGAAAAGGTGGCAGATAAGGTCCTTGCTGATGCAGTCTTTTCTGAAGTGTAAGGAGAGGTCGGTGGGCGTCTTGGTCGTCCACTGTCAATTATGTCAACCCATCTGTGGTCAACCTAGCCCATAAATCAAAGGGAAGGGCTAATGTATGAAGGGAGATTGTCATCAGGGACTGGGCTCCCCCGTGGGAGAAGAGCAGAGACCCAGTGGGCTGGGGTATGGTGGAATGGCAGGGTCCTGGAGCCAGAGTCAGAAGCAATAACAGAATGGGGACTGGCAGGAAACTTGACCCTCTAACTCTGAAAAGATGCTGGACGTCTGAGAGGCGAGGCAGCTTGAAGCTTGAAGTGAGAAGAAAGAAGTCAGCCTAGTCAGGCAGAGAGGGCACAGCTGACCCAGGAAAGGAAGACTTTGTTCTGTGGACCAGCTGCCCCAACTCAGAGGAGCAGCTGGCATTAGAGGGGGGGCAAAGAGGCAGAGCGAGACCACCCGGGGGGGGGCCAGGAGCCTCTGCCAGTTGTGATGAGCAGAACGCATAACCCAGCAGATCCGGGCTGCTGAGCCGCCCGATGTTCTCAGGACCTTGGTGGGAAGAGCCCCCTTCTGCCTGTGGAAGGGCTGTCTGCTGGATTCCCCCAGCCCTGCTCAAAGCTGCTTCTGCGATTGTGCGCAATGACGAAAAGCTCTGCCTGGGCAGGTGGATGTGAGGAGAAAGCTAATCCATGACTCTGAGCTCTTGCAGGAAAAGGGATGTGCAGGAGATGGCCTTGCTGGTGGGGAATTACCCAGAATGTTCCATACCCCCTAACCACCTCCCACCCAAATGTCAGCTTCCCTGTTCCCGAGGTCTCAGTGGAGTCTGGGGACTGCGTGGTGGCATGTTTCCTGACATTCACTAAGTTGCCTTTAAGAGGTAAAGTGACCCTGCTCTGCAGGCCAGGGAGGACCGGAGTGCAGCAGAGGCAGGGCGACCCAGACCCCCACAGCTGTCTCTCCAGACTGACTTGAGCTTCCCACGGAGCTGCTCTATTCTCCTTCCAGAAGGTGGGGAACCCGAGAGCTCCCACGGGATTCTCGGCACAGATCAAAGACCCGCTGACACGGGAGTTGGCCCACTGGAGCAACAGCTGGTGCTGCTCTGGCACTGTGGGGGTTGGCGAGGGGCCGGGAGGGAGCCACTCAGCAGGGGACCCTGTAGGCACCATATCTTCTCCCCAGCTCCCCAGCCCTGCGCACCCTACAGAGGCCGGCTTTAAGGCATCCACATATCAGCAGTCGCCCCCCACTGGGGGCTTCCGCTGCCATAAATGCTGTGAGCATTTATGCAAACCCATCCTCTCTCCCAGGAAGACAAAGTGAGGTGCTTGCTCTACAGAGCCTCCTCATTTGCAAAGGAAAGGGTGTAGTTTTCATTCATGGAGTGCCCACTCTGTGCCAGGCACTGTTCTAGGCTCTGGGGGTGCTAGGACAACACTCTGCATTCACAGACTATCCAGTTGGAACAGGGAAGACATGAGACATGTTCGTGCAACAAAGAGTGGAGAGGGCTCTGGAGGGGAGAGCGCAGGATGCTGGGAGCCTTCCTGGGGAGTCCATGCTGAGGAGCCCCAAATTCCAGCAGGGACTAATTTCTCCTGAGATGCAGCCACATCTCCCCTAGGAGCAATGAAGAAGCCACACCAGAAAGCAACACCTTCCATTGCCCTAATGGGGGAGAGGTTGGGGGAGAGAAAGGAGCATAAAGCAAACTCTAAGGTGTTTGAGAGAAACTATGTAGCATTGGGACCCTTAACCTGCCTCACAGGTTGTACTGGTAAGGAGTCCCCAGGACAACCCTTACCTGGGACTCGAGACCCCCAAAGCAAATGCTGTTCTGTTAATGAGACTGTATTTTTTGGGTTACCAGACTATCCCCTAAGGTTGTTGAAGCCCAAGGGCCTTGAAAATAAAACTACCTGTTGCAAGTTGATTATAACACAGCACTTGAAATTTAGGCAGCTATGCTATATTTGAAAAGTAAGGGAGAATTGGTTTGTAGCACTTTATTTTTAAAGGATGGGGTGGAGACTTGTATCCGGTCGATGAGTGTCGGACTGACACCAGCTGGGCCCATAGGGGCGGCTGGGTGGTCTCTCCAGGCGGCCTGAGGGTGGCTGGATGTACACCTGTTGAGTCCTGCTGATGGAAGCTCCCTCATACATCCAACTGGACAAGGAAAGACCCCTTTTCTTCTGGGACCCACAGGCTGCCCAAAAAAATATTCCTCCTTCTCCACCATCAAATGGACTGAACTCTCCCTGCAGTGGTTCCATCAGAGGTCCCCCCGAGGGGTGAGTCCCAGAGCTTTACCTCCCCTTCGGTTAAGGGCCTGCCCCCTCTACCCTGGTGGGCCTTGGGAGAATCGAAGGCAGCATTAAAGTTGACCAGTGTGTTGCCATACTTATGAGTTGTTCTCCTATAAGGACCGTTCACCTAGCTCTACTTCTGGAACAGGGTAGAGCTCTACCCTAGAGCTACAGGGTAGCTCTACCTCTGAAAGTCAAAAGTTAATCTTTAATCAGACTAATACAGAGGCCCAGGGGTGTATGTGTATCTTCTCTCCGGTAGTTCTGGTGTGGACTGAACGTTTGTGTCCCCTCCAAATCATATGTTGCCCTACCGCAGCCCCATGTGAAGGTGTTTGGAGGTCTTTAGGGTTAGGTGAGGTCATCAGCGTGGAGCCCTCATGATGGGATTAGTGCCCTTGTAAGAGTCACGAGAGAGCTCGCTTCCTCTCTCTGCTCTCCATAAGAGGACACATCGAGGAGTCTGCGACCTGAAAGAGGGTCTTACCAGAAACCGACCCTGCTGGCACCCTGATCTTGGACTTCCAGCCTCCAGAACTGTGAGAAATCAATGTCTCTTGTTTATAAGCCACCCAGTCTATGGCGTTTGTTGTAGCAGCTCAAACTGACTAGGACATCCATCCTCCTTTATACCTCATTTCCAAAATCCACGTGTAAGGACCCGCTCTGTCCCCATCTACCCATTAGGACGCTAGGCTGTGGCATCTATTTTCTTACCAACAACTAAGATCCCTGTGCACAGCTGTGAGCAAAACTGACCAGAAGTGCATGTCCCCTCTAGCTATTCGCCAGATAAGAATTCCGCTCCACAAGAATTTACCTCTAGACTCAAAGATGCTGACATGCGCAGTACGGCAACCTCTCCAGTCTGCAAAGTGAGGAAGAGAGGCCTGTTCTCCCGCAGCCCATCCCTGCAGCCTTCCTCGGGAGGGCTGAAGGGGGCCCCAGAGGCAGCTTGATCTGCAGCCTCTCCTCCAAGAAACTCACCCACATTTTCCATCTTTCCTCAGCTTTGGGCCGTGTCATTTCCCAAGAGCATCTTCTTCCTTAAAACATGAAAAGCCCAGGGCGCTCCCTCATTGCATATCACTAGAGAAAGGCAGAAACCATTTGGGCCACATCTTTAATTGATTTCTGTCCCTTTCATTCACGTGCAGTGCTGCTGAAAGAGACCCAGGGCTCCCCAGACTGCTCCAGGGGGACAGGCCAGGATCTCAGGGAACAATGACAGACAAGGAAGATATGAATAACCAATGAATGCCATTCAAGGATAAATGTTCACAAATCTGTAAAGACGGGGAGAAAAGAGGCAGGCATGCTGGCAGGGAGCATCACTGAGGTCCAAAACCCTGGGTCAGACCAACACACAGCACAGCCACTGCAAAAGAAGGACACCAGTGAGCTCACCGCTCCTCCGGGAGCTGGAGGCACTTTGCCAGAGACTTCTCCTGCCTCTCGTGGGTGTGAGCTTGTTCTAGCTCTGTCCTCCAGTAAGTGCCTCGCTCAATAAGAGGAAGCCCTTAACTAAGTCACTAACCCCTAAGCCAGACCACTATAGATATGTGACTTAGGAAAAGCTTAGACCCAAGAGGGATTTCCAAAAATAGGTGTGTGTATATACACATACTCAATTTCAAGTTCAACACGATTGTCCAGATGTCTGGAGGCATCCACAGATATGCTTCTATGAAAGGTTTCCCTAGGAGGCTCAACGACATTCACATGTTAGAGAAGAAAAGAAAGTGGCTGTGTCCAGACAACTTGGCAGGGCCAGGAATAACCCGGTCCTCTAGTTCTGATGCCTCAGAAGCAGGTGGAGGGCAATGCCTCCCTCCCGGCCTGGACCCTAGGGACATCCCCCACCCGCGTCCCCACAGGCCAGCAAAGGCCTCAGCTGTACGGGGCTGCGGCCCCCCACAGGGGCAGTGCTGTGGTGTTGTCTGACATTATGCGGTAGAACACCCATTTACTTTGCATCCTCATTCTACCTTGTTGCAATTTAACTTTTTGTTTCTGATGTCTTTCCACCTGTCAATCTACGACATCTGGTCCTAGAAGTCAGACACTTTAAATTGTACCCACCACCCACAATTCCACCCCAGTTAATAAGAGCTTGTATCCTTGAAACGATTTGAAATGGAGCTGTAGCTCTAACTTTAAAATGTTAATAATAATAATAAATAAATAAAAATGTTTTAAAAAAGTGCAGGACAATCCCATTCCTCCCCACAATACCTGCCACAGAGCATGTGTTGTATGCTCATGGAAATAAGACAGGTCAATACGATTAAACACCACTCAGCCCCAGTACCATCCAAGAATTCCAAAGTACCATCAGCAAGCAGTTCCTCAAAACTCAAGCCATTTACCTCAGCCAGAGAGAGCTGGACAGTGCCACTCTGGTCCTTGTCCAGAAGCCTGAACAGTTCTAGAACGCCCGAGAAGGAATGAAATTAGATAGGGATGTTGCTGGACTTTGGAATAATCAGGGAGCTGCCTCTGTCCACCCATCCCCACAGGGTACCCTCCCCCTTCCCCTGCACCATCCCCCCATCCGCTACCTAGCTGTGGGGACCCTGAAAATCTCCCTCTAGATCCAGTGCCCGGGGCGAGGTTCTTTGGCAGCAGACTTCCCCCTGCCCAAATGGACAAACTTCTACTTGTGAGCAGAGATGGTCTTTTGTCATCTCCATCCTCAGAAGCTCTAGAAACTTGCAATTCTTTTAACAGGAGTGGAGGTGGTGGGGGTTGTGGCACAGATGGTAGTTGCTCCATTTATGGGGCGTCCAGCCCCTTAGCTTCATCTCTGGCTGGCTGACCCTTTCCCGTTAGAACCGACCCCTCCCACCCCCCAGGGGAAAGAAAACGCTCTCCCTTAATAGGACGTCTCAGCATGAGCCCCAGACCCCAGGGGGCAGGAGAACCTATTGCCTTCCAGAGGTGGACCCCTATCCCCTCCCTGGGAGGTGACACATGCTCTCAACATGATCCCCACGGAGGCATGGATGTGAATTGACAGTAAAAGCCATTTAAGGGCCGTTACTGGGTCTCATTCACTTTGGCCTAGTGACTGCACAGCCATCTGCATGGTAGCTTTTTAAGTCTCCAAGAAAAGGCAGCCTCCGAGCTTGGAGTGGCCAGCTTGGACGTCCTCAGGACCTTCACCTTTATTTCCCCTCCCCCAAGGGTGCCACACTGACAGAGTCCTGTCCGTGGTTTCTTTGACTCCCTGGCCACCCAAAGGCACTGTCGGTCCTGCCTCCTGGCCCGGCCCCCCTGCCACTCCCTGCACCTCAGGAGAAATGAGACGGGGTTGAAGGGGAGAGCGACTCACTGAAGAGGGTCTCCAGGCGGATCATACAAGCAACGAAGCCGTCGAAGTCGATGCCGAGTTTGCTGCATGCATACCGCAGGGCGATGGTCTGCTGCACCTGATTGTTGAGGGTGAAACCTGCGGGCAGAGGGGACCTGGGTCACAGGGGGGTGGAGGGCTCGGCACTGTCACCAGTGGGACTCAGGAGCTGACAGTGCAGGGGCCGGGCCTGACTCTGCCCCCTCCAAGGGATGCCAGAAGGGTCTGGTCATCCAATCGGTCTCCTTTTAGATAATTCTCATCAAAACTAGCCTCCTCCCTGCTCCTAAGTCATGCCTGCAGCTCCAACACTAACTCAGCTGCACATCACATTCCTGGAGGGAAAAGGTGCTCAACAAATCTTTGTTGTCACACTGATTTCCAACACAAGATAACTACCACTGATGATCATTATCCTCATAAGAATAACTGTTTAAAATGGGCACATCTGAGTCCCAAGACCTTGTCTTCAAGATGTGTCCTCACCTGCTTTCTTGAGGGCTGTCCTCATCTCATGGGCATCGATGGTCCCCAGGTGCTTATCATCAGTTTCCCGATAGATCTCCTAAAGCAGGAGAGAAATTCCAGGTAGAAAACAGTCATTTGTGGCCCCTGCTAGAACCCATCTGCCTCCACCCCATCACTTTCTCAGAAGGTCAGGGATGCCCTCAAGAAGGGACCTCACTGACTCCTCCCAAGAAGTTCCAGAACAAAGATAAGAGCTTGGGCTGAGGGCCAGTGTTGGCCCCCTTGCCCTCTGAACATTAGGGCTTCTGGTGAAAGATTGGCATGAACATCTCTCATTGCCTTCTTAGTCCTTCCTGAAGAATGTGTCCAGGCTTTGTGCTGGTTTTGACCATGATTAAGGATCCGGTCAGACTAGAGCATGAAATAGTCTAGGAATGAGTGTCAGGGAGGGTGAGGGGCTAGAAACAGAACAGAGGAGAGGGACCAGAGCCCAGAGGAAGCCCAAGAGGGAGAGATGAGTTACCAGATACTTCTGAATCTTCAACCAGAGCATCTTGAATTCCACTGGTCCCAAGGTGCCTGTCCCATTGTTCCAGGCATGTTAAAGGCCAACATGATCAAGCCAAAATTCTACATGCCTTATGGATTTCTTTCTCTTGTGACCTCGCCCAATGAGAGTCCTAAGGCCTCAGTGAACATCCATGCCTACAGTAAGCGGGCTCCTGGGGGTCATGGTGGGAAGAGTTGGTGGGAAACAAATTCAAATAAAGATGAAAGAGTCAAACACTCACGAAGGCCCTTCTTTGAGGTCAGGCGCAGAGCTAGGAACAAAGGGCAAGTCATGAGCCTAAAGCCCTCCTCGAAATATCATTAATTGGCATCTAACACCCTAGACATCCCGGGTTTTTGAGAGGGTTAGGCTATATGATCTGTAAATTGTCTTCCAGGTTTAAATTTCTGTGATTGATAATCAAAATGAGTAGTTGTTTAGAATGTCAAAATGTTATCAGAAAAATCATCGGAACACAGGATTGGGATTCTCAGCCATAACAGTCTGCGTGGGTTTGTCAGCGTGCCTCAAAGGGAGGTCCAAGCTTCCCGACACTGATTCCCAGGACACGGGGACGCAGGAGCACAGCTGACCCAGAGGCCACTACTTAACCAACACAGGCAGAGGGTTTTGTGGAATTCTCTGTGTCCAGCTTACATTACTCTACAAATGTTTACTAAGCAATGGGCTGCACAATAGGATTTGGTTTTGAACTGTCTCTACCCTCACGAAGTTAAGTCTCTCTGAAACTCTACTCTTTTCTCGGCAATCACAAGTAATCAATAAACACCAGCGTGTCACAGCACGGACATTAAAATTCTGAAACAGACCATCAGTCCCACCTCCTTCAACTAGCCAAATGAAAAGTCGTGTTCACACCCAAGAGCGTAAACCTCACCCGTTGAGAAAGTCTGTGCTCTTATGTCTATGATCCAGGCTGAGTGTTGAAGGCACCAGAGCCTTCAAACCCTCCCTAATAATTCAACCCACATATCTCACAATAGTGGTCTGCAAAGGTACCTAATGCTCTGGGTTTAGGCACTTTGTATATTTCTATCTCATTTCATCCTCACAACAGCCATAGGAGCTATGCATTGTTATTCCATTTTCCAGGAGAAGAAACTGAGGTTCAGATCATTTAGTAAGTTCTCCAAATTTATATGCGATAATAAGTGGGGGAGCCAAAACTTGGCATTCCCTCGGTTCCAAAGCCTTTGTCCCAGAACACCAGTGGTTCTCAACTCCAGACGGAACTGCCTGCAGAAACCCAGGCCTGGTTCCAGACCTACTGAATCAGCATTTCCAGGAGTAAGACTCAGGCAACTGTATTTTTAAAACTCCATGGACGATGAAGTACCGATACATGCCATAGTCCTTAAAATATCCTGCTAAATGAAAGAATCCAGTCTCAAAGGACCACAGGTTATATGATTCCATTTAGGTGAAATCTCCAGAATAGGCAAACTAGAGAGACAGAAAATGTTTGTAGGGCAGGGGGTTTGGGGGAGTTGAGTGGCAAAGGGGAGTGAGTGCTAATATGGGTACAGAGTTTCTTTTTTGAGGTGATGAAATGCTCTAAAATGGGTGGTGATCTTTGCACAACTCTGTGAGTACAGTAAACAGGTACATTGTATGGTATGTGAATTATATCTCAATAGGGTCGTTATTTTTACAAGTCTCCATGCATGGGCCTGCTGCATACCCTGGTTCAGAGCCACTGCCCGTACCATCCAAACTGGAACAGACTCTCCTGAAGAACAAGAGTCACAGTGCTCTTGGAGCCATGAGAGATGCAAATACCACTGGGAACAATGATAGGGTGACTACAAGGCCACTCTCAAATCTAAATTGAATCTACAGGCAAGTTTGAGAAGAACAATCCAGAAATCAAGGAACTATTTGCAGCAAAGTGACAGTTCTCTGTGCCTGTGAATTAAATTGTTAATCACGCAGACGTCACAGAAGGACACTGGGCCGAAGAGCCCCAGCATCTGAAGCTCTGAGACCACAAGTACAGCAGCATCCCTCCACCGCTGATAACCCCAGCGGAGCTCAGCACACGTGCGCTGGCTATCCAGGACCCCTCTGCATGACCACCGTGCCAAAAAAGGCATTCCTCCCGCCCCAGAGGTCATCAGATCGCACCATGGATGAGGCGCTAAGAACTGAGGAGAACCCTCCAAGGCTCCAAGATATAAAGAAATCATCTTCTCCATCAGCACCATGGAGAGGGTAACCTGGACCCAAGCGAGGCGAAGACTGAAGGAAGTGATGCCCCACCACTCTCCCTCTGTGCCTTCATGTAAGCTGTTCCTTCCACTCGAAATGCCCTAACCCTCTCCAGGCCTCCCGAAAACTCTTCCGCATTCTTCAATATAGAGTGAGAGTTAAATTGGGTCAGAGACAACAAATAGGTTTATGTCTCTTGTGATAATTCTAAACTCTTGGTAGTGGCTGTCGGAGGGCTGTGTCAAGACTCGGAGACAAAGACCAGACAGGGATGGGGAGGGAATGGGGGGGAGGGTAGAAGCAGGGAGGGGGGGGGGGAGAGGCAGGGGTGGGAGGAGAGGGAGGGGGGTGGGCATGGAGCCTAAACAGAGGAATGTTGTGAGTGGACGGGGGGCACAAATGCCACATATTTGCTGTCTCTGAATTAAAAGATTTTTAAACAAGTCCCTTAAACACTATGCACCTTAGTTTCTTCACCTGTAAAACGGAGATAATCTCAAGCTTATTGCGAAGCAAAAATGAGAAGACATATTTATCTTTAAAACTCAAGCGGGACCCCTGACACGTGCTCACTAAATGCCACTTTCCCTCCCTGTTTCCACCCCTCCCTCCCTTCTCACTGGGAAAGGCTGAGGAGTCGTTAAAAATAGGAAAAAAGTCAAAATAATGTGACATTTAAAGGATACATCCATCAGGCTGATCATCTCCCTGCAAGTGTTGATGTCGAATCCGTCGAATTTTATGTCCGTTCCTAAACATTTAAACAGCAAAGGGGGTAGGACTCAGGATCATTTGAAGACAGGGGAAATAATCTCCGTGGTCGTAGGCCACCAGAGCCACCAGCCAGAGTGCGGAGCCAAAGGTGGTCTCCACACAAAGGGGAGGGTACGGTGGCAGGCTCCTTGGCAGAGGCCCCTGAGTCCCCTCGCACCCTGGGATGTGGTACGGGAGGGCACCGGCATCGGGGTTCAGTGTCTGAACCTCAGCTTTGCTACTCACAAGTCACGGGACTTCAGCAAACTAATCTCTCTGAGCTTTGCTTTCCTCTTCCAGCAAGGGGGAATAAGAACAATAATAACATCTGCCCCAAAGACGGATTGGGGATAAAATGAGATAACGTAAGTGACATTCTTAGCACAGTGCTTGGTATATGGTAAGTTCTTAATAAAACAGCTGACTTTTTATTGGCTAGGTATTGTTCTAAGCACTGGACTTCTATGTAGATATTATCATTATCCCCATTTTATGGATAAAGAAACTGAGGCCCAGAGAGGTTAATTTGCTCAAGATCACACGACCAGTAGGGGGCAGAGCTGGATTTAGATGCAGGCCTCCTGGCTCCATAGCCTGCACTGTTAATTACAACACACAGCCTCTCAAAGAGCAGCTGTTATCCATAGCTCCTGCCTTCGCTGAGAAAGAGCCGAGAGAAGTGGCGAGGGCCGCAGGGTGTTTGGCTCCTTCCTGCCTTGGCTCGCAGGTGTGGGCAAGGTGAGCTGGAGGCCAGGGACGGCTGCAGCTCCAGGGAGATGCCTGTGATGTAGTGAAAAGAGCTGGAGCAGAGGGTGGGAGGGCCATGAGAGCCAGGGCCTGGGCTCTGAGCCCCGGGGAGCCGTCTCCGGGAGGGCCCACACTCGGCCTCGCCCATGTCTGCATTCTCACACCCTGTCCTGCTGCAGTGGGTGAACATGCCCGTCACTCAACCAGCTGGAAGACTTCACCTGGTCATCCTGGGGCCCAACAAGACCGGCTCCGTGTCAGCTCCCGTGGGGCTGGGGTTCAGACGGAGGAGCAAGCCTTCCCTCCTGGGTGCAGTTTGACCCTCTGACAGCCCCCAGGGCTCGCTAAAGTCTGCAGATAGGGAACTGAGCGTGGTCTAGGACAGTCAGAACCATCCCTCCACCTCCCTCCCCAGGGATGCGCTTCAGAGCAAGAGCTTCCCTCTGCAGCTTTCCACGGCATCAACGTTATTAATTTTGTGGGAAAACTTCACTTAAGCCGCTCAGCCCAGCTTCCTTCCTCCCAGGACTCAAGACTCCTGCCCCCAGGGTCCCAGCATAGGCACCCCCAGCACCCCCTCCCCTCCAGCCTCTCCTCCTGCTGGACACTCTCTCAGCCTGGAATCAGGGGAATCAGGAGTCAGAGGCCAAAGGCCCCTGTTCCCCATCTGCGGTGCTCCTGGCCCATGCCTGCCCCCACCCTCACCCCTAACCTAGCATCTCTCTTAGGCTCCCACGGACTTTCTGAAAAGCCACAAAGAAGAACTTACGTTTGGAAAACACCTCATTCAGAACCGTCTTGAGTTCATTGGCACTGATCTCAGAATCCTAGAGAGAGGAACCCAGATGCAAGTCGTGTCAGACCCTGACAAGCATTTCAAGACATTAATGTAGAGTCAGACACCAGGTCCACCGACTCTGGTTTTAAAAGGCTGTGACATCTTTAAAAACTCCAGTTCTCAGTTTCTCTGGGGTCCGCCACAGCCTGGTGGGAAGAGCGCATTAATGGGCTGAGCGCAGTACACCCGTAGCAGAAGGCTGCCACACCAGGGGCTTGCTGCCTTTCTTGAGCTCGGAGAACAAAGTGTGGCGAGTAGCAATAATGGCAGCTAGCCTTGATGGGCCACACACCCGACATGGAATGTCCTCCAATCCTCCAAACAACTCTCCACCCATTTTAGAGTTGAGGAAGCTGTGGTTTTGTAAACTGTTCAACACCATATACATACACGATGTAATTTGTCATTTCCATGTCATATAATTGCTTGGGGTTCATGCTATCAAGTGACAGAGTTGGGATTTGAAACCTAAGACAGTCTTACCCCCAAAGGGCCCACTTTTCCCACTGTGCCTATGGGAGCTGCTATTTCACACACAGTTTATTAGATTCCGACTCCTGGTGACCCCATGTCTGGAGAGTGGAACCCTGCCTGCTCTTTTCGGACCATCTCTCCCCTTCCACACTATATCAGACAATGCTCTGCTGCTATTCATAGGGTTTTCACAGCCAGTTTTTTCACGCAGTAGCCCATCTCAAACTGGGAGCAGAGGTTGAGGGGAAAAGGATTTCCCATGTGCATTTGGGATAAACACTGAGCCAGAAGATGATTCGTCCCTTAACTCGCAGCTAGAGGACAGACCTCAGGCAGGGTGACAAATGAGGCACAGAGAAGGGGCACTGGACTGAGATCTGGGTGCCAATCATGACTCCGCCCCTTACTCACCGTGTGACCTTAGCCAAGTCACCTCCCCTTGAGCAGTGTGGTTTTATCATTTGTACCCAGGGCGATCCCACCGCCCCGATCCTCCACCAGCCAGGCCGAGGCTGTACTACTGGAAACAAGCAATATAGTTGCACAGAGCAGCGTCTCCTGTGAGGGCAGCCAGCCTCATTCTGGCACAGAATAGTCAGTCCCAATAATAAGACCCGGGGACCCTCAGAAAAGCCTCTGGGCCAAGAATATCGCCCCCATCAGCCTGCCAGGAAAGAAATGGGATGTGGAGATGTTCAGACCTTGGCCTGTCCCTCACGAGGCCTTGTGCCCCAGCCAGCTCCTTAACCTCTCTGTGCCCGACCTCTCACCAGCAGAGCAGGGAGAGTGACCGATATTGCCCCTCACAGCAGGAGAGAAAAGTAAGATAAGGTAGTGAAGAACTATACAAATATAAGCGTTTATTTTTTTTTATCAGTCTTGATGTTCTTAATAAAATATGGCCCCTTGGCAGCTAAGGCAACAAGGTTTTGTTAGTAAAAATACTGGTCTGAGCATCCATCTAAAATATATATTGACTCATTTTTGCAAAGGTTTCATTAACTGCTATGCAAAGGGACTATGTTCCTAGATTTTCTTTTCTGCACAGGATTCTGATGTATTTTCTTCTCTTCCATCCTTAAGTCCAAGAAGCGGTTCTGAGCTTCGCTGGAGCCTGGAGAGCATTATTTTTCTCCTTCTGTCATGGACTGAACGTTTGGGCCCCCAAAATTCATATGTTGAAACCTAACCTGCAATGTGATGGTATTAGACGGTGGGGCCTTTGGAAGGTGATTAGGTGACGAGGGGGGAGCCCTCAGGAATGGGATTAGTGCCGTTATAAAAGGGACCCCAGAGAGCTCGCCCACCCTCTTTCCACCAGGTGAGGACACAGCAAGAAGTCAGCAGTCTGCAACTTAGAAGAGGGTCCTCACCAGAACCCGACCATGCCAGCACCCCGATCTCCAACTTCCAGACTCCAGAACTTTGAGAAATAAATGCTGTGGTTTATAAGCCACCCAGACTGTGGTACTTGGTTACAGCAGCTCAAGGTGACTGACACCTTCCAAGGCCCTGTGACACACCTTATTATCCTTCAAAGAGCAGCACATTCATTGTATTTATGGGCCAGTTGGGACATCTGGAGTCCTGAGTCTGCTCTGACCTATGGCCCCACAGAACTGAAACCACAATAAACCCAAGTCAGCGGGAGGGGGAGAGAAGGAGCAGTTGGCACAAGGGGCTTCTTTTTCTGGCTCCATGGGCCCAAGTGGTGCTGGCACCGGGGCCAAGCTTGAATTCCACAGGCCAGACGCTGGTGGTCTCCCTGAGGGCAGGTGAGGCAGCCAGACACACAGCACCAACCCCAGGCCAGGTTAACTGAGCCATCTTCCACTGCGCTGGGCGATTCCTCCCCCTCTGAAGGATATTGACTTAGGGAAGTTTTGCCTCCCCACATTTTTAGGCAGGGCCCTGATCTGACAGGGCCAGTTTACAAACAGAAAGGCTTCTGGCAGGCCCTGGAGATTCAGATTTTCTATTTTCTCAAGAGTCAGTCAAGGCAGCAAGAAAAGTGCCCTGAGGACCATGGTTACTCTCCCCAGCAGTGCAGACAGCAGGAGGTGGCAACAGACAGAAGCTGGGGGACCCTGAGGCCTCACCGTCTTTACTCACAGAGACTCAGGGGAATAAAGACTAAAGGACCAGAGCATTCTTGAACACTCTCCTGCCCGTCTGGAAGCTCGTATCTGCCCTCCACTCACCTTCTCTGCAAGCTTCTCAAACAGGCTCTTGAACTGGCCATCGTCTTGATCCACCTCACTGGGATGTGGCTAAAAGACAGGACAATTGCAAAGTAAGATGGGAATCACTGCGGAGAATGCAAGGTGAAGGTTTAAAATTCCTTCGGTCATTCATTATATCTATTGCGCCCCTATCATGCGCCAGGCATTGGCTAGGTGGGGGCAGGTGGTGGTAAACAGGAGGGAGCCAAGGTCCTGGCCCCAAGGAGCTCACGGTAGCAAGGATGCGGGGCAGGGTCTAAGGGCTTCCCCTCTGAGTGATATGGGGAAGTGATCCCCACCCACCCTGAATTTCTGGTTTCAACCCTGAATCACTTCCAGAGACCAGCAGAAACAGTGACAACAGAGAATCTCAGTCTGGGTCTGTGGGCTCCTAAGGGATTCACCGATGACCTTCAGTGGGTCTATGAACTCCAGAAATTGCCTGAAAATTTCGAGTAGTGTTGATAGGTATTTTCTTAGCTTTCATCAGATTCTGAAATTGCATAGATTAAAAAGTAGTTAAGATCACAGCCTAGCGGAAACACCAAACTAGGAGCCAGAACACCAGAATGCAAATACCACATCGGCCATTTACTGGATTCCATCTCAGGGCTCTGAACATCCATTTCCTCAACTCTAATATTAAATTAACTAGGCCTGTTACATGGGGTCATGTTGAGAATCAAATGAGTGCTAATGCGTGTCAAAGTCCTTTAAAAATTACAAATCATTATATGAATGACTCTGTCCAGAGACTTTCTGATATGACAATGGGCTCTTTCCAAAATAGAATGACTTCCCCAGTGTCACCACCAGACAAAATGGGAAAAGTCACAAGCTTCCAAGATGTCTCAAAGAGTTCCAGAAAGCCAGGTCAATTTCCTCCAAAACTATCACTCAGAAAGTCCGAAAGACCCAATATGGCCTTATGTACTAATGAGAGTAATAACTGTAGTAACGGTGCTTACCTCTGCTGAGTACTTACTACCTGTCAGGTACTCTACATAGATTATTTTGTTTAATACTCATGACCACTCTATGAGGTCAGTCTCATTGCTGTCTACATTTCACAGATGGACAAACTGAGCCTTAAAAGTGTTATGTAACAGACCACAATCACACAGCTAGTAAATGGTGGAGCCAGGATTCAAACCAGCACTTCTAGTTTTTGAAGCCCACGCACTTCTCCACCACCCACCGGTATGACACCCAGAGTAGATACCCTCAGCATCCTTCTACAACCCAACCTCTCCAGGGCTCTGTCCCCTCATCTATTATCCCCTAACATGGTGACATTAATGCCTGTCATACTGTTTACACAATATGATGAGCAAATCCAACAATACCTCTAAACTTTTTAGAAGAAAAAATGATAAACACTTCTCATCACACATATCTGATTCTAAAGTGGTTTTGCAGAATAAAAACATTATATTGTTCATGTGCTACAATATACTATACACCGAAATCTAGTGGGAGATCCATAAATTCTGGACATGGAGTAATACCGTATTATTCTGGGGAAAAAAGTATGAAATTGCACACCAAAAAAACCCAATAAATGGATCTGGGCACATACTGGTACATGGCAGGCACTTTACCATGGGGGTATCATTGCACACAAGGGAATTTGTGGCTACCCAGGAAGGACAAAGATGCATTTATATGACGGTGTATAGGGCACTTCACAGCTTGCTCGTTCATTCAAAAACAGATTTGCTAGATGTCCAGCACACGTTGGGAACTGTTCTGTATCTGTGTCTGAGATGCACTGGTGAATGAGACATGGTCCTTGCACTCAAGGAACTTACTGTAGTGGAATTATCTGCTGTCCTGAGAGAATACATGTGAAAATACTTTGTAAATGGTAAGGCAGCGTGGCAGAAGCAAGGAACTATTTTACTGTTATTATATTATGTGTTGACAACATCTTTACAACCCTGCTCAAAGTGAACACATCTAAATTCCAGGAGTGTGTTTGCCCAACCCGTATTTTTTCCCTCCCCCAGTCCAAGCAGGCAGTCAGGCCCTTTGAACGTCTGACTGTCCATGAGTTGGAGGTTTCTGGAGGGAGGAAAGTAGAAGTTCTTGAAGGCAACAGCTCTTCTTGTCTCCTATAAAGTCCTGAGTCCTCTGAAGACGTTATCTGGTGTGTGTGTGTGTGTGTGTGTGTGTGTTGGGTGAGTTGTGCCCTCCAGAGAAAAGACCGAGTTTACCTGAGACCAAGATGTTGGAAGTCCAGGGCCCTGGGATACCACATGGCTCCCTGTATGGCTCCACAGCCTTGCTCTGGGGACCTCAGAAGGGAAGGCTGGACCCTAGGCCTGGGAGCTCCTCATTCACCAAAGATTCCAGGCCCCAGACTTAATGCAGAAGCCCAAGAGCTGCCCTGGCACAGAACCTGTGACCTGAGACGGTGGGCATCTCAAGGGAGACCAGGGTGGACTCATGGCCAGATGAGATTTCCTGTTGTTTTGGTGCTTCAGAAAATCCCAGACTGTGGGAGATGCTGGGGAGCCCCCACAATGACCAAGATTGAACGCCCACCAACCTGGTACAATGTGGACTTAGAGTCAATTTTAACTCAGTTTAGTGGAAATCAAAAGAAAATTGAATAGTGGGCCCAGATGCATACCCTCTACACTGGCACACTGGCCTTTCTAACACATCTGCATGATAGTAAGAGATGCCACTGTGACAGGTAAGTCCTCTGGGGGCAGCGAGATCACCAAGATCCACAAGCACAGAAAGGGCCTCTGGTGCCTGATACCTCAGCTGACTCGAGGGGGGCCCCTATTGACCTCTGGCTTGACCACTGTGCACCCAGCTCAGTTCAGGGACTAGCTGGAAGGAGGAAGAACAGACAGTGGGGGCACGCATTTCCTAAGAAACTCATGACATAACCCCCCAGGGCAAGATGGATCTGTATTTGGCAGCTTCTCATGCCTCTGTAGAAATACGAGCTTACAAATTTGTTATATGCCAAATAATAGAACGTCTGCCCCATCTCCCATTCAGCCAAAGACAAACTCAGCAGCTGTGGGGTGTTCTGTGTGGCTTCTGCAGAGACACCCCAATCCGTTTGGATGGATGGAATGGAGTGGTGAAAGCTGGTCCTGTGCCCCCATGAAGATAGCCCTGTCCCACCCCTGGCGAGTGCCCACAGGCCATAGACACAGTGTGGCCCCCAGACAGTACCCTCATGGAGCAGCCACACTCTCAACATGCTGCCTCCACGCACATCATCTGAGGAAGAGGACAGCAGATTGAGGACACAAAGGAGGGGTTAAGGGAGAGAGGAAGGTAAATCCACAGTTCAAATTCCTCCAAAGTCTACTCTGAACTCACCTCCTCCATGGAGCCCTCCCAGACTAGGTGCTCACTCTAGCACCCACAGACTACACACGCACGGGTTTAGATCCATTCCTGGCATGAGCTTTCCTTCATCTTTTTCATACCATTATTCATCCTCTAAAAGACTAGAGGTCTATCTAAGAGCAGGATACTGGATCTCTTTCTCCCATCGCCTTCTCTATCCTGCACAAGAACACAGGGAGTGCTGTATCTGAGGGTCCAGCTGACCAGATAGGGGGACGATAAGATTCCCCCAACGGGTAGGGATGTGTTACAAAGCCTGGGTCCCAGTGCTGCTTCTGTCTCATCTTCATCAGGAAGAGCCAGGGCCTGGAAAAGTTGTGGTCCTGATGAATAAAAAGTTCTCATCCTTAATATATAAAGAACTCATAAATCAATAAGAAACCTCGAATGACTGCTATGCAACAGTGCCAGAGCTTGGCATACTAAAAGATTGCATACCTCATGTGGGTTTCCAGCTACCACATCCCCCATTTCCCTGAAACACAAAGAAAGAAATAAACCAAATATGAGTAAGTAAAAAGTACAGCTCATGGCTAGGGTCTTTTAGGAAGTTCTTGACCTTTCTGAGGGATTGGCTTCCTACCCAGACCTTCAGTTCCTACCAGCACCAAAGTATATAAACTGAATCTTCTACCAGGATCCTTCCCCTTCTCCTCCGCAATGCCCACCCCACCCTGAGTTTTTCACCAGAGACGAGAGCTGCCATATTCAGTTTGCTCTTCATGAAGTCTAGAATGTTCACCCTGGTGGATCACTCTTCTGGAGAATTCTCTCCCCACCTTGCCTCAGTTACCACTCTTCTCCTCCCCTGAGAACCCAGCTATGTGACTCTCTGTTGAAACAGCCTCTGGGGAATGAGCCAGCAAGCCATAGCCCTTGTGTGCGTGCATACATGTACTGGTATGTGGTGTATTGTGTGTGTGTGTATGGCGTGTATGGTATGTGTGGTGTGTATGCGGTATATGCGTACTGAGTGTGTTCTGTGTGTGTATGTGTGGTGACTGTGTGTGTGGCAAGTGTGTGTACTGTGTGGTGTGGGTGTGTATGTGGTGTGTATGTGTATGGCATATAGGTATGTGTGTTATTTGTGTCTGTGTCTACTATGTGTCATGTGTGTATGTGTGGTGTTTGTGTGTGTGGGGGGTGTGTATGTGGTGTATGTGTGTGCAGTATGTGTGTATGTGTGTGTGCATGTGGTGTGTGTTTGTGGTATGTATTGTGGCATGTGTGTGTGTGTGTGGGATGTGTTTGTGGTGTATATGTGTGGCTTTTGTGTGTGCTTGTGTGGTATGTGTTTGTGGTATGTATGTGTGGCGTTTATGTGTGTGTGGACTGTGTGGTGTGTGTGTATGTGTTGTAAATGTGTATGGTATGTGTATGTACGGTGTTTGTGTGTATATGTGTGTGTGGTATGTGTTTGTGGTATGTACTGTGGCGTTTGTGTGGTAGTTTGTGTGCGTGTGTGGTGTGGTGTGTGTTTGTGTTTGCATGTGGGGTGTGTGTGGTGTGTGTGGTGTGGTGTATGTATGTGTGGTGTATGTATGTGTGGTATTTGTATTTGTGGGGGGTGTGTGTGTGTGTGTCTTAGGGGAGGAGGTGGTGCCCTCATCTCATCTGGACCCTACTCTCCGGGCCTCACAGGTCTAGCCCCACTGGGAGGAGAACCCTCCAACCAGGCTGTCACTGGTGTCCCTTCTCTCCAGCCTTGACCTTTTTAAAAAAAAAAAAAAACTCCCCCAGTGTCCTGTAGACCAAAGTAGAGGGGGCAGGAGGGGACACCCAGTGAAGGACCCTGGGACCTGTGGTGTTTTACAAGTTTCTTCTGGGAAGCATCAGCTGGGACCGGGGTGGGTCACACACAGGGACGGGGCCCCAGCCCTGACACTCCGACCCCCCACCACCTCCATGGAGGGAAAGGACACGCACAGGGCCTTGGCCTTCTTCTCTGAGAACACCCTCAGGCAGAAGTCGCCGTCCTTGAAGGGCTCGAAGGTGGACGGCACCACCAGGTACTGCCCCGGGGGGAGCCGGACGCGGCTGGAGACCTCCCGCAGGTTGACATAGGTGCTGGAGCGGGCCGAGGGCTGGTGGCCCATGAAGAAGTCCCGGCCCAGGTGCACGTCCGTGTGACTCTCCAGCTGCACAAAGCAACATCGGGTCATTTCTCCTGAAATCCTGGCAGATGGGGCCAAGGAGTTTGGTTTTATCGTGCTGATTGAGGAAGTGTTGATTTTTAACACTGGGCTAAGGATCAGGAGGCCTTGGATTCTGTCATGACCGCACCACGTGTCAATCATGGAGTGTATTTAGAGCACCTTCTGGGTGCCAGGCCCTGTTTGTGGCAATGACCTTGACTATGCGACCTTGGCCAGACTCCTTGTCCTCTTCTGGATTAAATGAAGGGCTGAACAGCAGGGTCTCTGAGTGTGCTCAGCTTCTCTCTGGACATTTGTCCTCATGAATCCCCCGCTCAATGAATCCAACAGACTCTTATTCTGAGGCTGTACCCGGGCGTGTGGCATTGAAAGCCCCAGTACAGGCCTGTGGCCGGAGAAGTGAGCTTAAACCCTGGTCCTCATCAAAAGCAGCCAGAAGGGCTGCTTACCTTGGCCTCTCAGGGAAAATTGCTCTGCAAGGTGACCAGGGCCGTCAGGCTGGGGGCCAAGGAGGCAGACAGAGGGGGTGACGGCAGCCAGGCCTCCCTCAGGGCCGAGGCTCTCCTCGGAGAGGAGAAGATGCTTCCCATTGCCCACCTGTTTGTAGGAGGGCGAGGGAGGTTGTGAGCGTGTGACATGGGCTAATTAGTGCCTGCAGAGTGCTTCGAAAACATGGGTGCCAATGTTATTATTGCTGTAATTAAGCCTCCCGTAGCACTGTATCTTTATGACCAATCTTAATCAGAATGCCTGTGATAGAGGGCAGGCACTGACAAGCTGTAAGGGCTGTGACTTCTGTGTGACTTGGAGCCAGAATGCCCACCCCAGAGTGGACAGCATCCATTCACAGTCACCAGAACCTCTTTGGATCACAGGTCTGCTAAGCACGGGAGGAAGGCAGGGCCACCTGCCCCCACTGCCCTGGTCAGGACTCCACAGGGATTCCCCAGCCAGCTCCGGCTGACCTGGCTACCAGGGCAGCCACAGCCTTTGGGATTCCCCCTGAAAATGTTTATCCTCTGGGCAGGAGGATGCTAGGGCATGGCCAGCAAGGCCATGGTCGAGGTCTAAGTGCTAGGGGGCTAAGTGTCATTCTCGCCCTCCCTGATGACAGCACGCAGAAGAGGCAGAGCCAGAGGGAGAAAGGACTCCGGAGTTGAGGTGGGGAAGCAGACTCTAATTTGGGATGGGCTGGGAAAGGGGCAAACTGAGTTCTAGCAAGAACCCCGTGAGGGACAGATAGAGAAGACCTGTTTGGGAGGCCAGGGTGGGAACTGGAGGACACCGAGGCAAGAGCTGGGTCCCTTCTGTCCCACCAGGGACTCCAAACAGGCATGTGCCACCAGCCCCTGGCCCTCACCTCTGCCCTTGGATGGCCCAGCTAGGAGTGACAGGATGGGGGTCAAGCAGGTTTAACTGAGGGTGGCCCTCAAAGTGAGGGCCCAGGATCAGCAGGAGCATCCCTGGGGAACTTGTTAGAAAAGCTGATTCTCAGGCCCCACTCCAGACCTACAGAATCGGAAGCTCTAGGGGTGGGGCCCAGCCATCTGTGCTTTAACAAGCCCCGCAGGGGATTCTGAGGCAGTGGTTTGAGAACCGTTGATTGGAGACCCACCGGCACTTGCAGAGCACAGAATCCACAGTGACACGTTGAGGGCACTGGGAGGTGTGTTAGGGGAAGCTCCACTGTGTGTGCATACGACCTCTCTCCTATAAACGGGGCATTTCTGATGGGAACCACCATCGACCAGACTTAACTTAGGTTTGGATCTAATTATTTCCTAGTAGTGAAGAGGTGTGTGCTCTAAATCACCCATACTCCCTTGTCTGTTACCTCCATAATGGACAATATGTATTCGTGAGCCAACAGGCAGGTAGAATCGTAGTCTGCAGCCTTGAAACAAGACATGGGCTGGAGCCTGTGAACTTGGCGTCACTGGCACATGCTACATAGCTGGCCGAGCCTGGGAACCCAGGAAAGAGGGGGTAAGACTGCAACAGGGCAAATACACCTCTCCATAATTAGTGCAACTCACTCCAGCCGGGGGAGCCCCAGACAGAACACGGGTTCTTAACCTCTGCTGCACATTGGAATCACTCCAGAGTTATAATTGGTCTGGGGTGCAGCCTGGGCACGGATATTTTTAAAAGCTCTCCAGGTGTCTCTAGCGTGCAGACAAGGAGAGGCTCACTAGGCCAGAACAAATGGGGCCTGACTTTGCACTGGCTGCCACCGAGGATGCACTCTCAAGCAAGCGATGCCAGTACCCTCCCCAGGAGTGCTGCCTGAGGCTTCTCCTTCAACTGGTCGAGGCAGATGGGCTAGCTGGGTGAGGCCTTGGATGGCAGCAGGAAACCCCAGATGTGAGTATGACAATGATGATACGTCTCTCTAATCCACTTGTAAATCCCTCAGGAGGCGCAGGAAAAGCCGGGAGCCAAAAAGATAGAGTTGGTGCTTCCTTTTCTTATTAGAGATCAGGGCATTTATTTCTGTTGGCTAGATAAATAGGAGCTAAGGTGCGCTATAATCATCTTATTCTGATCAGACCACCAGGCACACGGGGGCAAAGGTCACCACTGTCCCCTTCCACGGGGGCCTGGCAGGTGGGACCCAGGATTGTCCTTACCAACTCTCAGAGTTACCAGCTCACCAGATGATGGGGGAGTCTGTGGGAGAACAGGCTTCCATTAGAGGAAGTAGGTGCTGCTGCGTGCCCATCCATGAAGGTGGCAAAGCTATTTCTTACCAAAGGAAGGACATCTCTGTCTGCACTCACATACCTCTTTGGGGACCTACAGGACAGAAGAAAAGAACAGGTCACCTGAGTGCCGAAGTCCTTCCCTTGTGCCTTTGCGTCCCTCCCCACATCTTGCAGACAGACTGCAATCCTGGGCCCCTCGGGAGGAAGTTGTGCTAAAGCAAGAGACTAGTCATCATTTCTAAAACTGGAAAGTCATTGATGAATTTCAAGGCCATCTGTAGACTACCGAGCCCTAGATATCTGAATGGAAAAAAAATGTTCCACTTCTTTACTTTGCTTTCTAGTTATATCATCCACCAGGATCCCAAATTCTTCAGGAGTAATAACTGTGGGGTTTAAGTGAGAGCTAGCATCTTACAGACCTACAGACCTGGCCTCCAGATCAAGGGCTTACCCAGAATGGGCTTCTCACCCAACTTGAGCCATAATCCATCCTGCCCTTGGCTACAGTGATTGGTCCTGGCACAGGCACACGACCCAAGCTGAGTCCATCAGAGACTTCTCTGGGATTTTTGAATTGCAACTAAGGAAGGGGACCCTTCTTTTGTCCTTTGATATTAGGGATACTGTGAAGAAAGCTGGACCAGGAGAATGGCGTTGACAGCAGAGAGGAGATGTGGACAGGAAGGGTCTTGTTAGCATGCAAGTCCCCTGTCCCAAGCAGCCCTCCCGTCCCTTGGTTTGGTTACATGATCTGGTCAACTCTCTTTTCACTAGTCTAGGTAGAGGTAGGCTCTATTGTTTGTGACTGAGAATGCTGGCTTGCACAGGAGATCAGCCCTCAGCTGCACAGTGGGAGCCCTCCCACGTCCAGGGGAGAGAGGGGTGTTCAAATGCCCTAGGGTCCTTTCCCCGCTTTGCCCCTGCCATGCAGGCTCTGGACCAGAACAGGAAGGGCATTGTTCATGGCTTGGGTCCGTGGGCAACTGCCTGCAACCCCAGAAACAAAAATTAGGAAAATGTGGATCAGCTGGCATCCTCACTCCGGTGCCCCCATCTATAATTGGCAGCAGAGGTAGAAAAGTTCAGGGTCACTGTCACTCCTCTAATTTTGAGTTTAAAACCAAAACCACTCATGCAGTGGCCCTGGGTGTCTGGAAGAGCAGAGGTCCTCATGGCATCTTCCTCTGCTCCTGCCTAAAAGCCTTCACCCCCCTCAGCAGGGACTCTCCAAACCTCCCTGCTGCTTTCCATTCAGCACGCCCACCGCTGCTGGCAATGTGCTCTGAATCCACCCAGCCCAGAGTCAGCGGGCGGGAACCCAGCCAGCCCGCGGGGCCTCTGCCTGCACAAATCCGGAGCAGGAGGCAGGGAGCAGGCCTTAGCCCTTGCCCACTGATGGATGGAAAGGGACCGTCACCTTTGAAATGCAGGATCCTGAATGCAAACGACAGGCCTGCCTGGCATGAGCCTGTTGTCACTGCAGGAAGGTAACAGGGGAGAGAGACGAGGCCCCGACAAGCATGGCTCCTTAGCCTTTGCGGTTTCTGGTTGCTTCTCAATCAGTGTCAGGTGTTCAACCTCAAACTAGACTCCAGTATACAGACATTTAAAGCTAGAGGAGGCAGATACAGGGGTCAGAGAACGGTACCCCCTACAACCCCTACATCCCCCTACAACCCAGGTACTCCCTACAATCCCAGGTACCCCCTACAACCCTAGGTACTCCTACAACCCCGGGTACCCCCTACAACCCCAGATACTCCCTACAACCCCAGGTACTCCTACAACCCCAGGTACCTCCTACAACACCAGGTACCCCCTACAACCCCAGGTACTCCCTATAACCCCAGGTACTCTCTACAAGCCCAGGTACACCCTATAACCCGAGGTACCCCCTACAACCCCAGGTACTCCCTACAAACCCAGGTACTCCCTACAACCCCAGGTACTCCCTATAACCCCAGGTACTCCCTACAACCCCAGGTACGCCCCACAACCCCAGGTACTCCCTATAACCCCAGGTACTCCCTACAACCCCAAGAACTCCCTACAACCCCAGGTACCCCCTACAACCCCAGGTACCCCCTATAACCCCAGGTACTCCTACAACCTCAGATACTCCCTATAACCCCAGGTATGCCCTATAACCCCAGGTACTCCCTACAACCCCAGGTACCCCCTACAACCCCAGGTACTCCTTACAACCCCAGGTACCCCCTACAACCCCAGGTACCCCCTATGACCCCAGGTACGCCTACAACCCCAGGTACTCCCTATAACCCCAGGTACCCCCTACA